GCCAAGCTCCTCGCATATTAAAGGACAAGATTCATACTGCTAAAAAACAAATCAGAACAGAGGAAATGCTGAGAGACTGTAGTGGACCAGGAGTCCCAGAAATAAAAACACTAACCCTAACCCTAATCCAGACAGAAATAAAACCTTCAAAATTCTTACATGTTAAGAGGCATCAAAGGTTACAGTATATTACAAGTAAAACATCTAAGCTCAGTCTTTAAGAAAATCCACATTTGAAATAATCTGTTGTGCTTGCTAAAGCAAGCATCACTATTACTAATGCTCACAGTTAAAGGGATAGTTCACCCAAAAATGAAAATGCTGTCATTATTTACTCACCCTCATGTCGTTCTAAACCCGTAAGACCTCCGTTCATCTTCGGAACACAAATTAAGATATTTTTTATGGAATCTGACAGCTCTCTGACCCTCCCATAGACAGCAAGGGTCCTTACATGATCAAGGTTCAGATATGTATAGCAACGACATTGGTAAAATAATCCATGTGACATCAGGGGTTCAACTGTAATTTTACAAAGCTACGAGAATACTTTTTGAGCGCAAAAGAAAAAAAAAACGACTTTATTCAACAATTCGGCTCCTCCGCATCACCCTAGCACCATTTTGGTGAGTATCCATTTAACGTAAATCACAATACAAATCGTTGTAAAGCAACTTTACAGAAAATCAAGTTTCTACAATATATTTAGTACTAGCTTATCAGTGGTGACTGTCAGTTAATGTACATATGACAGAAATGTACGGAAAAATAAATTAAAGATGTAATCAAACAGACGATGAACACTATTAACAGCAATTATTATATGAAGCAAACAAACTCATAGCAAAATTTGGTAGTTCTGTATGTTGTTTCAGGGTTTGGCATCATCTGAGGTCCTCTGAGGGGTTGGCATCATCTCAGGTGTTCTGGATCCAGACTGAAACTTGTGTAAATCCTAGTTACGTGGCAAAAATAGAGAAACAAATAGAGACATAATTAGCGTAGCTGTTGTTCCAACCAAGCAACATTTATTTGTTTGACCCAAGCTAAAGAATAATAATGTGCATTTGATCAGATATAACTGCAGTACAAGATTATGAGATGCATTATTTGAATGCTTGGCCAAAGAGATGTGTCTTTAATCTAGATGTAAACAGAGAGAGTAAGGACCCTTGCTGTCTATGGGAGGGTCAGAGAGCTCTCAGATTCCATCAAAAATATCTTAATTTGTGTTCCGAAGATGAACGGAGGTCTTATAGGTTTGGAACAACATGAGGGTGAGTAATTAATGACAACATTTTCATTTTTTGGATGAACTATCCCTTTAAGGTTAGGGTTTTGAACAAGACTATAACGCTGAGTATTAAACCTAGGGTAATATCTTAAGTGGTCAAATAAGTGCTCAAATTGCCATTTTTCTGGCAGATTAAAAATCCTGTAGACTGGAAGGAGCTTCTACTTGGACCATGAGGCAGCCACTTAGCAGCCATATCACTTTTTTGTTTTTGTTGAGATTGTGTTGGTTCTCAAGCCAGAGCGGGTGCTCGGCTGGAGCTTGGTCAGAGCCGTCTGGGAGCCTATTGGTTGATTAGGATTGTTCAGTTGTCCAATTGAAGCTGCACAATTGCCTGATAGAAACTAAATGTAACTTATATATCAAAGGACTTTTTAAACACTTTTTGGTTTGGAGCAACATCCAGTGGCAAATTCGTGATCAGACTACTGGTGATCAATAGAATATTGCTCTGACAACTTCATTCAGCCAAATTCTGTCAATACATATCCCTTATAAATCTGTTGGTTCATGCGTCTGCTCTGCATTAGGCTTAACCTGAGGAAATTAATCCAATAGAACTATTGGTCTGACAAGGATTAGGTCAGGTGCTCATCTCAATTACAAATTGACAGAGATTTATAAACAGGGTTTTGTTGTTAAAATCATCCTTAATCTCTAGCCGTGTGTTTTGTACTGTACATAATATATAATATTACAGAAGTATAAGAGCACTAAAGAAATGCTTACTAATTATATTGTTGAATATAATAGCGTTTCTTAGCGTTTGCTATGTACCCTTCTGCTTTTTTTGTGCAAAACATGATGATCCAAAGAGCATCTTGTGAGCAAGGAAATTGTACCTTTGATTCAAAGTGCTTATTTTGGCCAGTATCACACATTTGCATACATTTAATATCAAATATTGATTATATATATATATATATATATATATATATATATATATATATATATATATATACTTTAGAACCATGTTGAACCAACCCACATGTATTTTCAGGTGTTTTATTCATACAGAATTATTAGCATAAAAAAACCCTTACATGCAGCTGGCAACAGATCAAACATGCAGAACAGAAATAATGACACCTTCATGAGTGATAGAATGCTCTTTCTCTCTTTGCCGTTGGTCATTATCCTCTTTTCCCTGTTCACTTCCAGGTTCTTGAAACAAAGACAATGCGTATTAGCTCCTCATTATTCATTTAAATCCATGAAGCCAATCAATTAAGCTTAAGTGTGCAATAAATCAGATTAACCAGTCAAGTCCCAAAACACCATAAAACCAGCACTGGACTGATTTTCCATAATTAGTTTGATGAGAGAGGCTGGGCCTGGGTGTGTGTGTGTGTGTGTGTGTGTGAGTGTGTGAGTGTGTGT